TTAAGAAACCCTGGTCTGGGAATATGGGATTGAATCAATGCACTAGCTTTGGAACATAGTAAGAACTGAAAGACTAACAGATGACAGAGTGTTACAGATGAATTCACAATGAGTCACGAAGGAAAAGGAGACCAATGGCAAGGATGCAGAAGAACCTGGGCCAGAAATATGATATTCCTTCAGTAGCATGACTTAGATAACAATTTGTATCACTCCCTTGGCTCCCCATTTCTTATGGAGACTATATGTGGGCTATTTCACTTACCTGAATATCTAAAATAAATATTCAAGGGAAACTCAATAAAAATAAATAACACAACATAGAAATAAATGAAGAAATCTTAAAAGTACTTTATATCTCCCCAAAATGAAAAAAGAAAAAAATATATAGATCTCTAGACTATAAAGAGAAGATATTTTTATCATAGTTAATGCAGTTATAACCAGAAATAAATAGAACAAGTCATATATGTGCATGCATTTTTGTAAAAATTAGTATATGTGCTCACACACAATTATGTATGTGTATGTGTGTGCATGAATGTATGGTATACCATTTATCTATCTTTCTAGCTCTTAATATAACTTCTTTGACAATCTCATTGCTAATAGATTCAGGTACAGTCTCTCAAGGGAAGTGGTGGAAAATATAGCTCTTTTTGTAGAATGATAAAATAGACCAGATATTTCGTGAGCAGATTGGTGTATACAATTTCCAAGAAAACTCCAAGGCAGTAAAATATGGAGATTAAAAAAATAAAAAACAACTTGCTAAAAAGGTGATGGAATTCTAGAAACATGTCTAACTCATAGAATATATTTCCATATATTCAATTACTATAAATATGCCTAAAATATTAGCTATTAATTAAATTGGAGCTATAAAATAAAAGGCCAGCCTCATTTTAGAATTTTGCCAGAGTATCTCGGTAAACATGAATATAGTTCTAACCCATCGTGAGATGAAGAACAGGCTGCCTAGCAACCGTTTTAACTAGTTCCCCAGAGGTTCTCAAGAGAAAAATGGGTGTTTGGAGGGGGAGCATTTGTTTTTGTTTTTGTTCTTATATCAAAGTTTCAGGATCATTTCTAACTAGCTTCTCTAGTCATTTTTCTTCTTGTCTTCATCATCTGAAAGAAATAATGAAAACGAGAAAGAAAAGAAGGAAGGGAGGAAAGGAGGGAGAGAGGGAGGAATGAAAGAAAGAAGATAGAGATTAACATGGGCCGTTTGAAGCATTTACTCAGGAATTCAAGTATAATCATGAAAATCGAAGTCAGGTTCTTCTGTTTATCATATGGGCATATATACCTTTTTTGTGGAATGCTCACAAATCAAATTCAAAGTAATGACATTGGCTTGGGAAACTACAAGTTCACTGAAATGTGTGACAGGAAAGAATATATGTTGGTGGCATTTCTTGACCCAGGATTCAAGGGCAACTTTGAAACTCTATGCCTACTTCATGAAGCCATAGATCACAAGGAAGATGTTCTCACAAAGAAAATGTGGCAGGTTAGGTCATTCTCCTCCTTCCAGACTTCCTGGTTAAGTAAAAGCACACTCATAAAACATTCACAGCATATTTTCATAGGATGTCCTATCATGTAGGTCCCTGACAGGGGAGGAGACAGAAAGTGTTTGATGCTGATTCCAGAAACAGTAGCTTTAAGTGTTTCTTTTGAGAAACAGAAAGAGAGAGGCAGAGGCAGAGAGAATGGCCCAGGTTTACTATAGCCTTTATGAGTTTGGGAGGGAAGAACAAAGATGGATTTCAAGTTAGATTCCAGAGTTAATGATGTGTTAATGAAAATGTAGGGAGCAAAAATGATGAGTTAAAAAGATTATAAACTCAAGCAAAGCAGTAGTGGTGGATCTGGAGTATGATGGGTAAGTTATATAAATGAGATGCTTAGGAACATAAATTACCTATCTTCTTACTTTATGCAATTGTTTGTATAGCTTTTGAGTCCATTTTAAGACTCTATTGCCAGCTGGGTTTAGTAAATACCATTTTGCAAACTTACAATGCAAAAGTGTTTCAACAGTAAAAATTGGGTTTTATAATCATTGTGAGTAATATAAACAATGTTCCTTCTAGAACTTATTCTGAGCCCTGGGTTCATTTGCAGTTCTATCACTGACCCATATGAAACATAGACTTTATTTCGTCTTTAGTACTTTCCTGAAAAACAAAAGAGAAAGTGGTTCCATTGCTTTGAATTACCTCAGAAAACTGCCATAATTTGCCACTTCACAATGCAAGGCTAAATTTCGTAAGTTAGATTCTGACCTCAATGATGAGTTTAAGTGCCAAGACTATATTTTAACTATGCTGAGGCATAAGACTTACATGAAACTCCATTTGTTTTGATTATAATGAAGACTTATTTTGACACATTATTCTCTGCATTTCAGCATCTTATCATCTACTAGGACATTATCAAAACAAAACCTTTTTTGAGGTAGGGAGTCTTTTTCCATTTTCGTATTTTTTATAATCTAGTTCTTCATGTTTCCTAAAGGTAAATAATGCATGAGAAAACCTGCAGTACCTTGACTAGCATTTTTCTTTAAATATTAAATATTGCTTTTGAAAATGTTTGAACTATGAATAGTTGTGCACAATAATTTTCCGGTTGGAAATAAAGCCTGATATTTATCCATTTTCCCTTTGATGTCCTAGCATACTAATGCTATGTAGATTGGTTGACTACTGAATTCCTCCCAAAAGTTATGAAACTTATAATTTCATGAAAAAACAAGGATACAGATACTCTTTGAAGAAGTGGTTTACATGTTTAGTAGAAGGTTATTATTTTTTTGGCAGTGGCTTTGGTTTCTTACTGATGTCGTTTTCACAACTAAGGATAGGTTCAATTTTATTTTTTTTCAATGAATGTCATGACAACCCTAAATTAAGTCCACTAATGTATAAAGAAAGTGATTTCATGGATAATACCAGAGAGCACTTCATTTAAATTGCTATAAACCTTCCAAAGAACAGTTTAAATTGCTCCTACCTAAGGTAAGTATCTTATTTGAAAAAGTCTACAGCTTTATTCATCCAGATTTCCTACAAAGATGGAGAAAAATCCTGAATTTATACAGTTGAGGACTTTATAATGAGGAAAAAAAATTACAGTTGTTTACAGGTAAGCTAAAATAGGTGTAATCACAGATGTCGTTGAGGTAAGACATGAGTTGTGTTCTAAAAATGTTCCAAATCATTCAGAATATTCAGTACAACTTCTTTCCTCCTTTATTTAAGGTAAGGTCTTCTCTTAAGGTCTCACAACTGGGGACATCTTTACATTATTTCATAGACATCTCATATACAGCACAGGAAGAGTGGTAACAGGGTAATAGTAATATACACGCATGCTGGAGCCAAACTACCAAAGTTATCAACCATGTGACCTGGGAAAAGTTGTTCAATCTTTCTGTGCCTTAGTGTCCTTGTCTTTAAATGAGGATAAGAGTAGTGCCCACCTCCAGGACTGCTGAGCAGTAAATGAATTAATATACACCAAGAATCAACAGTGTCTGTCCGAAGCATATCATATTATGATATGACAGCATGTTAAACATTATATTATGTTGACAAAATACTTCATCAGTCTTATAATTTACTGCTTTGGGGTGCACCAAATATAGATTTTAATAGGTGAAGGTGGGGGAAAAGCCATCATTCAATACCATTCATTCCTTTAGCAAGTATTTATTGATGATGCACATTTGAGTTCTAGGGTAGTTAGGAGGATCAACTCCTTGAAACTACTGATGTTATTAAAGAATCCAGAGATACAGAGAAAGGAACCTAACACTGTTGCCCATGTCCCAGACCAATCATTCAGGATCTGTATCTGCTAGACAGAATTAAATTTCTTTTGCGAGGAACTATCTTTTGTGGGGAAGAGGACACATCTTTAAAGATATTTTATAATCAATCAAATCATAGCCAGCCCCTCTCCTTTAGCAATTTAGCCAATTAGAAAATCTCAGCCTCTATAAAGGTATAATCGGAAATATTTTAATTGCCTAGTATAAGGAACACACTTATTAGTAAATTTGCTGGATATTCTATTTTAAGTGCTTTTGACAAGTAGCTTCATTGACAGCCCAACAAAGCCCATTCTGTGTTGACTTCTGTACTAAGGGCTAGTTATCCAGAGATGAGCAAGGCTAGTTCCTCCTGGCAAGACACTCAGAGTCTCACAGGTGGAATACAAAATTAATACAAAATTCACTGCTACACTTTTATAAGGCGGTGTTTTGGATTGCACAAAAAGCAGTGAAAATCGAGTTGGCTTAAGCAAAGGGTTAGGTCATAAAAACTCGAAAAGTTTACCGTGTGCTGGTCAGATGAGCACTCCAACAGAATATTCAAAAATCCTTCTTAGCCATCCTAGAGTGTTTAGGGCCCAGTAAGATATACTCAGTCACATCCCTTAATTTGCCACGACCAGGGATCTCCAAAGGGCGGACGCTGAATCTGGCAAATTAAATTTCCCACATGTACAAATTCAACTGCTAATTACGACGTCACAAAGGGCCGAACTTGATGGAAAGAGAGAGGGCTCCTGGCAGTAATCACAAAGGGCGGCCCGAAGGCTGGGACTGAACAGTCCAGCTTACCCATCAGCGGCGGCCATCTGGTGAAACTGCAAGGCTTCCTCCACCTTCCTGATGCACGACAGACTCCACGCCTGGGCTGCGCGCGGAGAAGGAGAAACCGAGGACAACAGGAGAAATGGAGTCACGAGGCCCTCAAAGGTGCTGCCGCAGGAGCCTGCCAGGAAGAGCTACCGTTGGGATGAAGAAGGTGAACTCCCGCTGACCTCCGAGGGCAGGAAAAGAAACCACCAGAAAGGAACAAGGGAGGGCAGTAGGGCGGGGACCCTGAGGGCGCAGGGCAAGCAAGGCTGCGGCAGAGGGGAGGAGCTCGAGCGCAGGCGCAGCACGGGTCTCATCGGAGCACCCGCCCCTCGCCCTCCGTCACCTGCCCCTACTTCACAGAAGTGCTGGGGTCCACCAACCAGAGACCACAAGAGACGCACCAGACACCAGACAGAACAGGTAGGGCCCTTAACTTGCAGCAACAAGAGAAAACACAGTGGAGGGAAATTCCTTGAGAGGAGTGGAGCAGCGAGGGGTTTTAAGAGGGTTTAGGATTTTGCTGGATGATTTAACGAGGGATTTGGGAAATGCAACCAGCTCTGGAGGTTCCGTCAAGAGGTTGGGCTGTTCAGTAATTGGGCACCCCGGTCATCTGTTCAGGAGGTGGTACGAGCTGAGCTAGCCTGGGCTGTTATCAGTGAGAGAGCCCCAGTCAACCAGAAGCAATTTCCGTGTGATCTTGGGCGTGTCCCGTTGGAAACATGGTTTGTTTTCTGTTCTTGCCAGTGCTGTTGGAGACATTGTTGATGTTTCTTCCACATTCACAGGAGGGTTCCATTACTAATTGTGCTGGTTTTCATTTTCTCGAGTGTGAGATCCTTGGAAAGGACAGGGCTCCATGATACTAAAATTAAAATGAGAAAAGGGACAACGGATGATGGTCGTACTAGTCTGGCTGGTGAGACAAGGAGTCATGTAGATTTTATGTCACCAGTGTGAGCAGAGTTGTAGTGGAGAGCACAGTCTGGGGTAATTTAGAGAACGGAAAAAAAAATATATATATATATATTTTTATCTTTCAAAAGAATGTCCACCAACTATATGACATTCTGCAAAGACAAAACTATGGAGACAGCAAAAACATCAGTGGTTGCCAAGAGTTAAAGGGGAGGGAGGGATGAATAGGTGGAGCACAGAGGATTTTTAGGGCAGTAAAACTACTCTTATGTTATAGTAGGGGAGGCAGAACTTTACCTTTATATATATCTTGTATAAAGAGAGGCGATTATGGAATAGTAACTCAATTATATGGGAAAGCTAAGGGAGATAAGGCTTGTTTTAACAGAATTCTTTTGGCTTTGATTACCGCATCGAAGATGGTTTCTTTTCTCCTAGTACAGGGAGACCATCTTTCACATGGGAATTTGAATCTCTTATTTTCAAGAAGAAAAGGGAGATTAGAATGTCTTTCTATTACATCTGCTGTTTTTCAAGTGTCTTTAACTTAAAATAATCCTCATGTCAACCTGGCATAGTTTGGGATGGCATATTCTGCCACTCTTCAAAACTGTAATGGCAGATACATGTCATTAATACATTTGCCCAAACCCATGGAATGTATAACACCAAGAGGGAACCCTAATGATAACTATGGATTCTGAGTGATTATGATTATGTGGGTCCTCAGTTGTAAGAAATGTATTACTCTGGTGGGGAATGGTGATAGTGGGGGGTGGCATGTATGTGTGTAGGTAGAGCATTTATGGGAAATCTCTATAGTTTCCATTCAATTTTCCTGTGAACTTAAAACCAATCTAAAAAATAAAGTCTATTAATTAAATATATATGTATAATAACTTCTTAGCCTCTCACCCAGACTGTTACAGTAATCTCCACCTTGTATTTTACCCATTGTTTTTCCCCATCCTCTTTATTCTCCTCACTGCTTTCTAGAAATTCTTTTCTAAAATAGAAATGTCAAGTCACTTGTTTGAAAATCCTTAAAGGTTGGCTTGCCATTACTTTTAAGATAAGCTTCAAATTCTTCACTGTGTTAGTTATCCATAGCTGCATAACTATGTTGCCACAAACCTATTGCCTTCAAACAACACACATTCATTATGTAACTGTTTCCGAGATGGCTTAGCTGTGTCCTGGATTCAATGTTGTCTCATAAGGCTGCAATCAAGTTGTAGGCTGGGGCTGCTATCTCAAGGTTTGAACCTTGAATGGGGAAAGATCTATTTCCAGGCTCACCTGGCTATTGGTATCATTCAGTTTGTGGGCTGTTGGTCAGATGTCATTCTCAGTTCCTGGTTGATTGTTGGCTAGGGGCTGCCTCATTTCTCAACATGACCACTTGTTTCCTCAAAGCCAGCAAGGGAATCTTCTGAAAAGATGGACATTACAAACTTATGTAACATAATCATATACATCCCATCACCGTTGTCAAATCCTATTGGTTAGATGCAAGTCCTAGGCCCTGTTTACACTCAAGGGGAAGGGATTTCACAAGGACATGGATACAGAAGGCAGTCTTAAGAGTCTGTCTGCCACAGACTCATTAAGTCATCCAATATCCTTAAAATCTGCGCTTAAACCTCTTCCTTCTTTCTACCCCAGCCAGTACACATTTTAGTCACACTGGAGTGTTTATTTTCCTAGGAATTATATTGGAGCACACAAAAATCTATTCTTTTATTGCCTCCATGTTTTTTCTCCTGTTGTTTTCTGTGCCCGAATTACACTTCTATAACTAATTTGGCAAAATGTTGCCAAAGAACTTGTGCAAATTTCAACTCTAAGTAGAACTCTTCCCGTCCTGAGGCTGAATTAACAGCTCCTTCCTCTGTATTCCTAAACCTCTCTCTCTCCCTCTCTCTGTCTCTCTGTTTCTGTCTCCAGCTACTTCCATCCTGATTTCATTATGTCATAGTTTTTAGTGCCACTGCATTTTAAGTATAGTGAAAGTAGATAGTGTTCTATCAATCCTGAATCCTCAGCACCTAGCGCAGGATCTGCTAATCCTAAGGACTTAAACACTTGCTAATGAAGTAAACAAATACTGTATTAATTTTAAATGTGTGTGAAAATAAATTGTTGAATACTCTGCTGGCCAAACTATTGGCAGGGCAATGTGATAATTTAGTGCTTTGCCTTTAAAAAAATAACACCTTTGCATTTCAAACACATCCTTATCTCCTTCCCAAAGTTTTATAAATTAACTGAATTGTTCATACAGAAATAAATAAATAAAATAAAAACAAAATTAGTTAAGTACCATAATCAAGCATAAGCTATTTTTCTGACATTTTTTTACATTTCATATTTACTGAGGCATAGTAAAAACATGACTACTTAAATAAGTTGTGTGATAACCTGTTCATCCCTATGCTCTAAGAAATTATGAAAAATCATTTACTATTATTTCATTATTATTTTTAATATTTCAAATCCATGTTATCAGCATTTCACATTAATTTCTTCTCATGGCATAGGTATACTTCAAAGCTTGAAAAATTTAAATAGCAGATCAAGGTCTTTTTAATTCAGTCTCTTCAGTTGAAACTTCTGTGTATTTGAACTACAACTGTTCTAGCTTTACATTAGGCAATAAGCTAGGTAATAAAGATAGCAATATATTTTCTGTTTGGGGGGGAATGAAGAAAGTCACATAAGGACAAGATCCCAGATAATTGAAATTAATATTCTTTATTGCTAAACTGTTTTTATTTTTATCATTGGGAAGAAAGCATTTCTTAATTGGACTATCCATAATCTGGCCTCCTGGACCAGGGTTTAACGTAATTTGAATTTCTGAAATAAATATCAATCATAGCCCAGTAGTGTGATATAACTATGCCTTTAAAACCTATTACAGGGGATCTAAGCTACAGACCTTAACAACTATGATTTTCTTGTTTATACCTGCTTTATAAGTTTCTTTTTAAAATTTGCCTCCTGGGGCGCCTGGGTGGCTCAGTCGTTAAGCGGCTGCCTTCAGCTCAGGTCATGATCCCAGGGTCCTGGGATCGAGCCCCGCATCAGGCTCCCTGCTCCGCGGGAAGCCTGCTTCTCCCTCTCCCACTCCCCCTGCTTGTGTTCCCTCTCTCACTGTGTTTCTCTCTGTCAAATAAATAAAATCTTAAAAAAAAAAAAAAAAATTTGCCTCCTACCTATCAATCCAGCTGCCCCTAGCATTGCCCTCTCCCTTACCTCTTCTTAGGAATTTGGATACATATATGCATTGAGAGTAAATATGACTAAGACACTGAAATAAATTGAACACTGATTTTAATATTGTTAGTAATAATAGGGAACATTGAGTTCTTCCTATATGCCAAATACTGTTCTCAATCTAAATACTATTTTAAATATGTATAAACTAAATCATCCTCACAAAGACTGTGGTGTAAGATAAAAGAGTAGAGAGGTAATATTCCACTAAACAGATGACCTACCTTGTGTAAAATAACTTCTGAGGTAAGAGGGAACATAGACGCAGAAACAAGTCCAGAAGAGCTGGAGTGGAAAGTGTCTGGGGAGAAATAGCTAAAAGTAGGAATTAAAAAGTAGACAGGTCATATCTTTTAAATACTCCAGTCAAATCTCACATTCTAGAAACATTCTGTGATACTAATGAACACAAATAAAGCATCCTTTCACTTTTGTTCCTTAAAAACATTGTTCCCACTTGTATTATGTTTGGTTATTTATGTAATTCTCATTCATTAGTTTCACATTTCCTCAAGGATCGAACAATATCTATCTACCTTTCTTTCTTTCTTCCTTTCTTTCTTTCTCTCTCTCTCTTTCTCTTTTTCTTTCTTTCTCTCTTTCTTTCGCTTTCTTTCTTCTCTCTTTCTTTCTTTCTTTCTTTCTTTCTTTCTTTCTCTCTTTCTCTCTCTCTTTCTTCCTTTCTTTCTGATACACTCCAACATCAGTTTCAGTCTTTTATGTTATAAATGTGCAATCAGTGTTGCTGAATTTATGTCTGCATTGATAAGTTGCAATTTGCTGAAAGTATGGTCTTTAGTATAAAAGGACTTCCTTGTTTTTTTCATGTTTCATTTGAGTGTGATTATCTTACCTCTTTCCTGCATACATATTTACTTCTTCCTCCACTTCATGCACCAACTCCCCCCAACTTCCCACTTGCATATTTAATCACATTTTTCATCAGAAAATCTTGCAAACTCCTTCAATTTAATAATATAATCTAGTTATGAAAATTACTCAGTCCAAGAATACATTGACATTGGATTCTCCTCCAGAGTGTCGGTTTTCTTCTTTAGACACCAATGTGTATTTTCTTTTTTTTTTTTTTTTAAAGATTTTATTTATTTATTTGAGAGAGAGAGAATGAGAGAGAACACATGAGAGGGGATAGGGTCAGAGGGCAAAGCAGACTCCCTGCCGAGCAGGGAGCCCGATGCGGGACTCGATCCAGGGACTCCAGG